TTTAGCGGTGTTGTTCTGCGTAGATGGGCTTTGTAAATAGCTGCGTAGCTGGGTCCGCTTAAAACTGAGGACGTAATAGCATTCGCTAAGAAACCAAGCTGCATCCAGTTCGGTGTAGGAATAACTTTTGTTAGGTAGTCCCGCCGAAGCCACAACTCTTCGGGGCAGGGTAGGAGACGGCTGTAGTGGTCCTTATGATCCTTATCTGGAAAACTTCATTAAGAGGAGTCCTGGGAGTGTAATGGCTGCGGGTGTGCTTGACCTCTGGGAGTGGGTTTGGGCGTTCTCCTTCGTGAAAATAGTCCCCTGCAGACAAACTAGTTGCAAGGCGTTAGCGCTGGTTGTGCAAGTGAAGGTAGTGGTATCAGACCTGCCATCAGTTTGCAGTTAATGTGCGCTCGGAACTTTGAGATCCCACATAAAATCAGCGTCCCACTGACAGACTTTAAAAACTTTAAAAACGTTGCATTAAATTCTCTTTTTTATTTAATTATTCCATGCAGTTATGCTAAATGTCCTCCAAACCCACTGGGAGCTTTCGTTCATTTAAATAATTCCTCCTTGACGGTTTCATGGCAGTCCAGAAATTGCTATTATATCCCAAGTCACACGTGCTTTCTCTGCCTGCTGCGAACCAGGGAATAGTAAACGGATCCCTTCGGTGCCTGTGTTGGGGGAGGGAGCACGAAATGGGGTTTTCCCTGCACAAGTGTCCCCTTCTGCACAGGCTGTTCCTGCTGCTGCCCAGCAGCTTCTGTCAGGTGGTGACTGCCTCCTGCTAGTGGATTCTGGAGATTTGGAGGAAACCTGGGGGTTTTCTCTTCCCTGCCTAGTATTTGAAAGCGGCTTTGAAAACCTCCCTAGCTAAACCTTATCTCTGTAGGAGTTACACATTGAAAGTCTGTCTTTCCCCCTTCTGATATATTTCTGCAATAAGCCCCTTGGCACTGGTGGAATTTTACAGGTCAAGGTTATTGGCTTGTGAAATCAAAGTTACCCATGGTATTTGCAAGTCTACACCTCCTGTTTGGGATGTCTGTATTGCAAGAGCTATTACTAATTTCTCTAATGGTATTTGTTGTGCATCCGTATTGGAAGAATGTTGCTGTTGAACACAGAAATGCAGGGAAGGCCTGTCCAAGTTACCCAGGAGAATTTCCAGCAAGAAAAGTGCATGATCCCAGTCTGTAATCTGGGACAGATTTCCACGTTTCAAATACACATGCAAATCAGTCACCTGGCAAGTTGCAGGTTAGGTAACTGTAAGGTCCCCACTGTTGTCTGTACCCCCTGGACATGTATCACAACTTGGCAGCTGTGCAAAACTGATCTGCCAGTTCAGATGAGAGAGAAGGGGTCCTCTGCATATTCAGTAAGCAACCAATATGGTTTCTCTGCACCCATGTCCAGACTACATTGTGCCTGGGGGCTTGACCAGTGCTCACTAGGGATTGGAACATCACCAGTGTTGGGAAAGAAATTGGGAGCTCCCACTGGTCCAGGACCAGCCAGCTAACTGCAATATGTGTGATGCTGGCTGAGATGCTTGCAGAATGGTTCACCATGTTTGCTGTGCTTCTTCCATGATGGCTGTTGGTGCACAGTGTACTGTGGACTGAAATTTACTTGAAATTGTAGATTTCTAGCAAACAGCCTTCTGTGAGGAAGCCCAGCAGGCTTGTACAGAGCAGTAAATTGCAGGTATAAGCCTTCATGAAGAGCTGCTTTATACTGGTGAAGAGACACAGCGGAGTCCTGAAAGGTGGTGAATTTTGTATGCCCAAGAACTGTGTATGAGTACAGGGGAGGGTAATGACCACATTTTTCACAGTATGTTTTGCCCAAGCACAGCTGTGTCAGTTGAGGGCAGTCAGCTTCAATACCTCTTCATGTGGTGTCACTGGAGGAAGATGTATATGGCACTAGCATTTCATAGGTTTATTCATGTATGTTTGGTCACCAAAACAGGTGGTTTTAAATAGCCTTATAACCTCCTTTATATCCTCCTGTACCCACTGGCAGTGACATCAACACCATAGTACCAAGAGTTAAAAATGGTCTTGAGTTTGAGCCTTCTGTTGTTGCCATTGTAAATTGTGCTCAAGCCATAGAGCATGCCCTGTGTCTTGTCTTCTTGTTACCAGGTTGCGCTGAGAAGGCAGCAAGCTCAGGAAGAGGAACTGGGAATCAGCCACCCAGTGCCCCTGCCCAGTGCTCCCGAGACATTTGTGAAGAAGAGCAGTGGCGGCAGCTCTTGTCTCTTGTTGGAAAGCAGCAGCCCCACGCACTCAACAAGTACCTCCATGACAGCAGCCAACACACCATCAGGTAAAGTGCTCGGAGAGCGATGATCACTGCTGCGGGCAAGGGCCGACACTGCTTACACTTGCCTCTTCCCCTCCCTGCAGCAGTGGGGTTATGGAGAGTCCCTCTTCAAGAGTGGTGTTGCAGTGTTAGTATGGTTAGCCAAAGGGGAAGAACCCAGAATAAGTCTTCATGTCTTAATTTATTATTTTTGCTTTAGACTGGCACCGTAATGACTTCAGTAAGGTGTCTACTTGCAGGTAGAGATTTATGAGGAGCTTTTTTCCTTTCTCCCAAAACATGTTTTCCTTCCACAGTTGTCCAGCTGTGTATCCTCTTGAAAACTGGAGTTTTCAGCACTGTATAGGAGCCAAGTATGTAGATAATGGAACTGACCCCAGTAGCAGAGAGCTACCCACCTTACATGACTTGATGTGGTACTTTTGAGTGTTCTGGCCAGGTGCGATGAACTACAGAAAACACTGGAAAGTCTGTTTTTTCAGTGAGGAATACTGCTTGAATATTCTGATGCCTTTTTTTTTTTTTAGCATATAAAGATCTTTGTTAGATAGGAAACTGCCAGGTGTGATGTGACATGAAGTTCTCGGTTTAGGTGTCAAGTTGTTTCAGGACCAGGCAGGTACTCAAAGGATTCTCGTATTGTTGTTTTATCATTTTACTGGTACCCTCAACAGCAAGCGAAACAAGACCCTGTTGGAGCAAGTGGTACAGTGTCTCACTTCGGTAGGCAGAGGTGCTGAGTTTGCAGGAGTTTACAGTAATCGTTAAGGCAGGCAGAGAGCAAAACCCTTTGTGGTAGGGGAGGTTAGCAGCTCCCTGCAAGCCCCAGGGAAACTGGTGGCTCCTGGGAGTGCAGCATCCCCTGTATAGCATGCACTGAACTGGGCAAGAGATGGTTTTGGCAGTGGTAATTCTGTTTCTCCTGTAAGGTTCTGGCTTCACAAGAGCAGTTTTTCTTTTAAACTCCCATCATGCAGAGCAGTGTTTGCCAGCAGAGGAGTAATGTGTGAAGGAGTCACACAAATCAGACATAGTGCCAGAGAGTCTTTCCTTGCTGTATCCATTTTATTGGCAGACCAGAAATACTGTGACACCTGAAGAGGCCGGAGACATTTTTTCAGATCCCTTTGTGACATGATGTTTTTGAAAAAGGGAAAAATGAATTCTCACAGTCACAGTGCAGGGGGTTGTACATTTACCGTATAAGACTTGGAAAACATCTTTACTTTGGATGGAGCGTATCTTCCACACTCAAAAGCAAACTGGGAGTCTGCAACATGTTTGGAAGGGAGCAGATCATGATCACAGGGCATTAGCTGAAAAACTCTTCTAATCAGATTTTGTAGTTTCTATGCATTTACCCTTTTAAAAGTCGTGGGTTGTTGAGAGCAAAGGCCATTTAATTGTACAGAACAGCAAAAAATCGTGATCCCAGGGCATCTAAAGTAATTGCCTTTCCTTCTGTGAAGTAAGTGCATCTTGTGAAATTAACTAGTTTGTAAAACTCAGAAAAAGACTATGGTGAGGCATTTAAAACGTGATTTTCAGACATACTCAGTTTGTAAAACCTGGGTTCTTCCCTGTTCCTCATCAGACTTATTCTCCAGAGCCTTCACCAGCTTTGTTGCCCTTTTCTGGACCCACTGCAGCACCTCAATGTCTCTCTGCTGCTCTGCACTCATGTTGGCCTAATTTAGAAGCATCCTATTTAGGTAGGATTATTGTATGATGCTAAGTGCCAGCTCCTGCTCCTATGCTCTGTGGTGGTCACTTTCCCATTGGCTTTGAAGTGACCATTAGTGATGGTGTTATTCAGGTGCCTTTGTAGTATCACTGGTTGACAAAGTAAACATATCCTTGTCAGCAATTGTGAGTAATAAGTTTGCACTTGTTATTTCCCTTTGCTACATTTATTATGTGTTATGGAAACAAAATAGTGTTCTTTTTTACATTTCTTTAAGTAGGTGCTGCCTTCACTTAGAAACTCCTTGAGGAACAGATGGGTTTTTATCTGTTAATAAATACAGACTGTAGCAGGGTCAGCAGTAATAACTATGCCTAATGAGTGATGGTACTGAGATCCCTTTGAACTTGCAATGCCTTGGGTGCCTCTGAAAGCTATACCTTGCCTTCTTTACTCTCCTTTGCTTTTTTGGTGTTACCTTTTGCATTGACCTTTTCTATGACACTGTATTGTAATTTCAAAAATGGATGCCATGACCTTGCAGATGTTATGCTGCATAGCTAATGAGGTACAAAAAAAAGTTAATATAATTGGAATATAACATGGCTTGTTTTTTAAAAGGGGAGAAGTTTTCTTTTTGAGAGGAAGTCCTTTTAAGTCTTTACAGTATACTGTTACATGCTGTGAGGATTTCAGTTTTGTCAGAAAAGTCTCATTTTAGTCAACTGATGGACAGCATGAGGAAGCTGCCATGGACGTTTCAGTGTGAGAGTGCTTAAACATTGGAATGGTTTGCCCAGAGAGGCTGTGGAGCCTCCATCCTTGGAGAGACTCAGAATTCAGCTGGATGGTCCCCAAGCAATATGACCCAACTGGGAAGCTGACCCTGCTGTGAAGAGTTCAGGCCACTAGCCTCCAGAGGTCTTTCCCAAACTAAACTTCCCTGAGAATCTGTGAAATGCCTACTTTTTGTATTGATATTGAGTCAACATACTGAAATTTGCCGTTCAGCCAGACTCAATACCACTCAGTATTTGCGAGCCTGGGAATGGAAGCCTGACTCTTTTGACTAAAACCACTCAGTGACTACATCTACAGTAGATTTCAACAGAAAATTAGCATCATGGGGGTTGACAGGTGGCAGAGAGGATTGCTAGTTCAGGTGGCAGCAGCCTCAGAAGGGCTGAGCAATAAGGAGAAGCAATAGCTGCTTTGTCTGCCTGTGCCCGGACTGACCTGGGGGCTGCATGTCCTCGGGGCTTTTGGTGGGTCTGCAGTGGTTAATAGTCCATCCATCATCCTGCTTATTCCTTTTGTCTTTGTCTCCTTGTTACTTTCTAATGATGATTATCTTCTGCTGCACCCACTACTACTTCTTCACCAGATTTAGTTGCTGGCTGCTTCCTGGTTCTGCCAACTGTCCTCCGATACCAGAAGCCAAGCAGCCCCATCCATTGCTTCCTGGTGTGTTTCCCCAGCTTCACCCACAGCCAACAAATCTCTGTTCAGAAGGCGTAGTCGAACACGGTTTCTTTACTGGATTATAGAGCTGGCAAAGAAACAAGTTTTGAGTCCTTTGCCTGTGAATAACTAATACCTTTCCATCCGTGATCGTCTGTTTTTCTTCAGTTGGTTGCAGTTAAAATTAGTGAAGAAGAATCACATTTGCATATGCCTCTTGTAAAGAGTTTGTGAGCAATCTTCATTCCCTTGCATTGGCACTATTTCCACAGCACAAGTTAGACTTTGTATGGGAAGTAGTTGCTGGAGATGGTCTTCTGCCTGTATGGCGATTTTTTCAGTTGTTAAATCTCTTCCAGCTGGACTAAGTAAATATTCAGGGAATGTTCCGTTTTGAACAATTTTTCCTTGGTTTAGAATAAAACTCCCTCCTAACAGGCTTTTTCAGTTTCTGAACTGTAATACCTATGTGATGAACAAAGCACTCCGCAGTGTGGTGGCCATGGCTTTGTAATTTTCCGTTCCTACTGAAATAGCTTGTGTTTTGCTGAGAGCTGCTTAAAAAGGCATTGCTTGAGAAGCAAGGGGGGCATTTGAGAAGCAAGGTGGTATTTCTGCCTCTCTACACTGCTTTGGTTTCGCCAAACTTGGGAATGCTGCAAAGGAGTTTTGAGCATCTCATTATAAAAGGACATAGATAAATCTGAAAGGATAGAGGGAAGGGTGACAAAAATGATGTATGGCTTGTAGAAAAGGAGACTAAGGGTGGATATAACAGTCTATAAATATTTGAGAGGTAATAATATGGAGGAGGGGGAGGGATTATTTACAGTGCTTGAGACAGCATAACAAGGAGCAACGGCTTGAAACTAAAAGACAAAATTAAATTAGACAGTAGACACTTTTTCTCCTAACTAGAAGTGCAGTTAGCAACAGAGTGACCTGTATAAGGACAAGGGGGTAAGTGAAGCATAATCAGGAGAGGTGTTTAAGAGTGTGTTAGATTACGATCTCAAGTGATTAATATGGGGGTAAACTCTGATCAATGTGCAGATTAAACTAGATGACGGAAATCTCCTGCAGCTTTGTCATCTCCTGTATGATTCATTGCCTGTGGCCATTGTTGGCCTGTTAAATAAATCATAATGTTACAGGGTTCTGCATCCCTGACTAGATGTTTCCAGTTAATTCTCCAGTAGTTCTGGGGCCTGCAGCTTGCAAAGCTTGCAGTTTTCCTACTCCTCCGTACAAGAAATATTAGTCCATCGTCCCTGCAGCTTCATGTGTGTGTGTGTTGCTGTCTGTGTTCTAACTGAACTAATATCTGAAGTGCTGTAGGTGTTTATGCAGCGAGGCACAGACTTTGTCAAAAGTGTGGTGTTTCTATTGTGCTGGTGAAACAGGTAGGACTAGTGGCAGTTTACAGAGTTAAGTCTCTAGATAAAGAAGGTGGGGGTTTTTTCCCTTTCAGGATTTCAGTCCTGTCTGAAGCTTCGGTGGAGGTTTAAAAATAAATTCGAGTGTAAAAGAGATTTGGAAAACCTCAGAGAAGATTGCTTTGCTTTTCTTTTTCTGTGCACATGGTACTGTGGGGCTCATGCAGAGGCAGGGGCTGGGGAGAGCTTTCTGCAGTGTTACCAGGGAAGCAGGGGTGCTGTGGTATCAGCCATGACCTACCCAGACATGCATACTGTGAGAGAGAAGAGCTGCTCAGAGCCAGAGCTTCTCTGACCACCTTTTGGCCAGAGGGCTGGAGGTGAAAACCCACAGGCAGCTCGGTAGGTATCTCCATTCTTCTTTCACATTTCAGAAGAGCTTTTTTCTCCTAAAGAATTGGGAATAGATTTTGTTCCAAAAA